AAAACAAAAATATGATTTAATTTCTATTATTTACATCATATTCTATTTTTTGAGTTTGCCTATTTATAATAAATAAAAAATACTTGTGCTACAAACCTTTTGCCACAAGTCTCACATGTATAATTGCGTGGATTTGAATGTATTTTCATATGGTTCAGAAGATTGCCCTTTTGTGAGAACGATTTTTTGCAAAGCTCACAGATGAAAGGTTTTTCACCAGTGTGTACCCGCATATGTGTTTCCAATGTACGATTGTTGGGAAAACGTTTGCCGCAATACTTGCATGGATACTTGGGTAGTTGTAGGCCTTGAGGATCTAAATGACTAATCAGATGCCGTTTGTAATTACCTTTGTGATTGAATACACGCGAACACTGATTGCAGATAAAGGGCACATCCTGTAGATGTATTGTTGCATGAGATTCCAGTTCTGATCTGGTTTTGAAACGACGGCCGCACTTGGCGCAGCGATGCCGTGGAAATTCGGAGTGGCATACCATGTGTCTCTTCAGATACCTCTTTTTGGTATACGCCTTTTTACAGATGAAGCAATTATATGGAAACTCACCGGTGTGCGTTTTCACATGTGCTCGTAGCTCCCGATAGCTTTCGCAATCCTTTTCACAGACCACACAAAAGAATGGACCACTGCTAGGCACATGATTATCAACAGTGTGCAGCAATGCACTTGTTAATTGATCGAAATTCTGTAGACACAATGTGCATTGGTATTCGATCCCATTGTCCTGCTTTACCTCCTTTATCCGTGTGACTGCATCGTTTACACTGCCTAATACATTGTCTTTAGCATCAATGTAATAATCAGAGTCACACTCATCGCTGTCATCTGCTTTTGTTGATTGTTCGTCAGTCGAAATGTTCTCGTTGCACTTGATTTTTTTATCTTTCTTCTGTATTATATTGTCATCCTTGTATTTCCAATAAGCACGTTTATTACTTTCTGTCACATTGGCATTTTCTGAACATTTTACTTGATTGGCAACACATGTATTGCTTAAAGTTTCTTTGTTTTCCTGTTTAGATAAGATTTCCACTACAGGAACAAATATATTATCAGTATTATCGATTTCTTCATATTCCTGCGCAGATGCTAACATGTTTTCTGTAATAGGCTCGTTTGTAGGATTTGGTATATACAATATTGTTATATCTTGTGATTCGAGTATTTTTGAAATTTCCTTTGGCATTCTGGACTTTTCAAAATCAATATCTGTTTGGTCCTCGCTAGCTTTTTGTATAAAATTATAAAGATCATTTAATTGTAAGTTACTCTTCTCCTCATCCCTGTTTTCTTTTACCAATTGACATGTATCAAAGTCATCTTGTTGTTCCTCTTTAACTATTTTATTTTCTATTTCAACTTCTGCATTTTCAAAAGTATCAGCACTGTGTTCACATTTCATATTATTTACCAATTCCAAGGATTCATTTACTTGCATAGTATTATCTTCATTACTCTCATCAATTAATTTTATTTTCTGAAAGAAAAAATAAACTCTTTAATATTCTTTAAGACACTAATACTCTGTTATTATAGAAAAACAAGGATAATCAAACAAAATATATAACAAATCATCTTTGGGGCATTAATAATTCTTATCTGTTAATCTTGCTATATGACATTAATCATATTCAATATCTATAAATTTACATGTATAACTCATTTAACACATTCAGATAATTGATTACAAACTAAGATCAAATTAATATAATTATTAATTTCTATTATTCTTATATATATATCTTAATAATGCATACTTGATTTTCAAGCATCATCCTAAATTTCTTATCTGACTCTTGTACTTGCAGTTTGAAGTTATACAAAGCATCAATATGGTAAACACACTTGCGACAGAGCATACTAGGCAATCCATCAAATTTGTCAATCTGTTGATAAAAGTTAAAATTAGTATATTGCTGTTTGTAGCAATTTAATCATTTTTACTTTTAGTTTTGTAAGATAAGTTAAATTTTATTATTTCTTAATGCATACTAAAACAATTAGTTATTAACCAGTAATTATCAATTATAATGTAATAATTGAAAATTGATTAATTATGCCGTTTGTGAGTATGATTAGCTATTTGCTTTAGTTTTCCTAAAAGATAACTAAAGGTTACGTGTATAGGTTAAGTACGCATTTTCGTATTTTCTTGCATAAATTACTGCATTGTAAAATCGCGATAATCTAAAATAAAGAAGCTATTTATTTACCTGAATGGACGTGAGTTCCACAAGTTTGTATGGTAAATTAATCACACTAATAACCTGTTCGTCGTACATGGGCAGCATCTCGCTGCCTTCTTTCATACACGTACGGCATTTATTTGTGAAAGAACTGATTTCGGAGCTCATAATACTGATAAATCGAAACTTTAGAAAAACAAAACAACGATAAACGTAAGAAGATATTACGTGATTTTCACGCAATGTATATGTTTTACATTTCGCGGTGGAACAGTCAAGCTCTGCTTGGATTCACAGCTTGTCAGTTGTCAGTGATGCCAAATTTGAGACGCAAGAAGCAAGCAGGATGAGTGGAGGGAATATCGCACACATGCGCAAGCCACATGATGCACATACATGTAAGCTGCGCTTCGGCTAGCTTCGGACATTAGAAAAGAGCAGACATACTATTTCTGTCTCTACTCTTTCTTACCGACCAGTAACGAAGGTGATGTTGTCACATCCCTTATGCCCATATCAGACTACACATTGAAAATTGAAACTTGACCAATCAGGACAAAGAACTTTTAGCTCCTTTTGTTTTGATTGGTCAAATTTAAATCTTTAATCTTCAATTTTCAATCTTCAATGCGTAGTCTGATACGGGCTTTACTTAATTGCGTTCAGAAACTACACCCGTGATCACCCAATCTCCCAAAACGCCGTTCAAAAACCAACTGAGAGTACGTCAACACAATCTAACTATATTTTTTTAATAAAGATTATAATCTTCATTGGTGTTGTAAATACTATAATTAAATTTTCTTCCTGATGTTTTGATATTGCTTACATTTGCTTACTAAGGTCAAAAGAAACAGTTCTTGTAAACATCGTATTAGCGCTTACAAACAAAGAAATAATTGAAAATAGCGCTTATAAGCGTGAGCGCTTACAGTGCGTAAGCGTTGAAACAAAATGCAACCACTTCATTACGTTTCCTAAACGTATATGAAAGGAATATGTGGATGTGAATATGCTCTCTAAAATAGTTACGATATGATAAAATTTGGTGTAAAACAGAGAATAATTATAAAAGTGCATCTCGCGCATAAAAATTATTGCAAATATTTTCATAAAATGTTGAACGTTCATTGTAACACATTAAATATTACGTACGCACAATCATCAAAGTCGCGGTTTCGAGTGAAAGTAGCAATTTACATTGGTATTGATCAAGATCGTCTTCGAAAATACAACTGATGTATAATTATCATCAAGTATGTATATATATTTGTCTTAAAATTTTATAGTTATATAAATTATATTTTTTCCAATATTTGAGTAACAAAAAAACATTAAAGTTTGTCATTTCTTAATTCCGCCGCGTCTTATGTATGAAAGGAAATATTGTTAGAAAGCTACAATTATTATCTTTAGTTTGTCGTTTTATATGCAAAACCTTCAAGTTTTTGCAACATATTTATTTGAATGCGAATATATTATGCGTTTTCATTTCGAGGTTAGATCTTATGAAAATTAAAGTTAGTTCGGAAGATCAGTATCGTAAAAGAATTGAATGTATCAATAATGTTGGCGCGCTGCAATAGCTACGTTCATACCGATGCTCTTCTGTTAGTGCACGGCAAATGACAGGTTGACGATCGAAGCAATTAGCTGTTCCGAGTTTATCGTTTATCTGCTGATTTTAGAAGCAGGTAGAAGGCGAATCACACGTGCACGCGATTATCGGGAGTGCCGAGGAAAACGCTGCATCACAGTAATTGCCGCGAATTGACATGATTAACGTGTTCTTGATTGAAATCGATTCACGCATCTCTGACGCCATTTTTGTACGAGTTGTCATATTTTGTGTCGATGCAACGGTGAAATAAATAGCTACTCGTAGTTTTTTGAATGTGCGCGTACGAGTGTCGGGAATGTAAAATAAAGTGTTTGGCCATGTGTTGCTGTGTTAACTGGGAACGATCTTGATTAACCGTCGTTCGATATCCGTGTTTGTAAAGCAGGTAAATACTGAAAGTATCGGAGCGGAACATCATGCGAGCTGTAATGTCATTAACGGCAATACGATTCTTTATGCAACTTGATAAATACATAACTCATGAATGAATGAGTAATAGCAAATGAAACGTGATATACGATACATGATTATTGTAGTCCTAATTGCCGTTCTCATCAAAAATGAGTGCATTATTCGATATCACCTATTAAATTTTCAAATATAATTCGCTTATGCGTTAAATATGCAAATTATCAAATGGTATGGAGCAATTACCGGAATTATAATACATCTATGAATTATGACGTTGACTTGCAAATTGCGATTGATTGCGATTACATCTTTCAACGGTCTTTACATATGAACATTATATATATTCTTCATGTTCCAAATTTAAAATCTCGCATGATTTATGATATTTTATATTCGTTATATTCAAAGTTCCGCGGACATCAGATATGTTAAAGAATATTGCGATAGTATGCAAATTGTTACACAATCACTAGTAAACCATACTTTCGTAATTTTTTGTTTTTTATTCAGTATTTTATTATTTGGTTTTTTTGTTTTTAATTTATGCATAGTAGGATGAAGTATCGGATATAATAAATGAAGCAAGCATTACACCGTCAATTAGTACGGTTAATTAGTACAAGATTTCCCAATCGATTAACTGGGTTGCTCGATGTTCCGTATTTCTCCGTACTTTCCGAAGCGACTCATGCGCGTAAATAAATATCGGGAGTGGTGCATTAATAAAGTATCCGGCGACTATGATATCGCATTATTATTATTATCTGCGTGAATGTGATTATCTGCGTTTTCCGTTTACTTTGTAATGCGTATCAGTCGAAACAACCAAAGGAAATGCATCTATCAAAAGATAGCAAGTAAAATAATTTTTTTATTTTCTTAATATTTTTATTTAATACTTTGCATTTATTCTCACAGTTTTACCGTAATTTATTTATTTGCATGACACTAAAATTTATTTAATATGCTGATTTGATATTATTATTTCATAGCTGCTACATCATTGCAATCTTTAGATTATTTGTTGGAGATTTTTAAAACACAATTTTCTATACCAACAATGTAAATTATTTTTATAGTATTTAATAAATATATTTATAAAAAATTGTTATAGTTTATGTATTATTCTTTTTATTTTATTTTTTTTTAATAGTAAAAGATATTGTATGAATTAGTGCATAAAATATAAGCATTTGAATATAAAGTAGAAGTATAGATCGTTATATTAATTTTATGAAGAAATATGCACAGATAATATAGTTACAAAATTAAACCAAAGTTATACCTTCATAAAGAAAGGAATAATATAGTTAGTCATAATTAATATTCAAATTCTTTTCAGAAAACGCTGACAACGCAGTGAATACAGCAAAAATGGAGCAGTTGTGTTGGTGAGTGAATGCATTTATTATATCTATTATAATTGATTATTTATTTATAATATACACGATGTTTATTTTATAAATATTTATTAAGAGCAATTGTGAGTTTTACTTACAAATTTACGAAAAGCTGCAACACATTATTGCTCTAAGAATTACATATTAATTATTTTAATTACGTGTAATAAATAACTAAAAATAGTAATAATAGTAAGTTATAATTTTTTATTATTATATCATAAAATTAGTTTTATTGCCAAAAGTTATTTTTTTTACTTAAACTTTGATATCATTTTCGCAATGAGGATAAACTAGAAATTGAGATGCAGCTTTGTTGAACCTTAAAACACAGATCATTAATGATGTTTAATACGAAAATAAATTTTTTAATATAATAATCACGAGCAAAAATCTTTGAATTTGTGCTATTATACTTTATATTAACAACTAATTTATTCTTTTGCTTTTTGTACATCATATAATAAAAAGTACTGTACAACAGTAGTCTTATAAAATTATAAGATATACAAAAAGTGAAATAATGAACTAGTTACTAGTATAAAATATAATATTACAAATCTAATAGTTTTCGCTCGTGATTATTATGTTAACAAATTTATTTTTTATATTAAATATTATTAATAATCTGTTTTAAGATCAACATTCAAGATTAATATTCTAGTTTTAGGATTTAACAACTCTCATTTTCCAGTTTGTCCTCATTGTGAAAATGATGTCGAAGTCAAAGATTAAATAGGAAAGTAACTTTCGACAATGTAGACTAGCGTCAGATGCAGTATGATAACGGAGATATATTCGAACGATAAGGCAGATATGAAATGAGTTCTTGGCCGCTTACCGTGTGCGAAGTTCGGCGAAGAAAACCGGGTTTATTTTGCATTGAGTTCCAGTCCGTGTCGTTCGCACTGGCTGCAGTTTATAATGGACATCTACAGCGAACGCGAACTTCGCATCGTAAACGATTTGTCTCTCTACTTGTACATGCTGTGTTTCTTAAGTGAAGTATGAGTTTGTTCGCGATACAACCAAGTCGTTCATGCTTAATTCCGTTTTTATCTCTGCGAATGTTTTGCATATATAAAATATGAAATATTCACGAATAAGCAATTATATCTATTAATTGTCATCAACATTTTAAATAATATAAAAAGTATTTTAATATAGTATTTATATGTATTTCACAAAAAAGTATTATTTTTTAAGCAT